CCCCAAAACCCCAAAACCCCAAAACCCCAAAACCCCAAAACCCCAAAACCCCTCATATTTTATACATTTTGAAACTTATAATCGATTAATGCCAAGAGTTAAAAAGTTGACTACAAAAAGAATGACAAGGAGAAGCTGTCAAAGAGAATCTGAATCTACTGATCTTCCTTTGTGTGCATCCCAAAGGATCACAAGAGCTAACGCTAAAAAGAATGTGGAAGAAGTAAACCTGTTTTCAATGGGAATTGATCAAGTAAAGAAGAATTTCAAAGTGAAAAAGTAAGCTACATAATTAATGTACAGAAATGTTATAGTGGAAAATGAAAAGAAGAATCGAACCAAAAGAAGATCAAGTAAGCCGATGAGAAAAAGAAGACCAAAAATTAAGAGGAATAAGATTATTATAAGTGATGATTCAGGGTCTGAGCCTGAGACTAGTACTAAAATAAATCCAGAGCCGAGTTCTAAATTGAATCTTGAGTCTGAAGCTAAATCTGCAGATGGATCATCAATGATGCTAAAAAGTTTAGAGTCTTCTTCCTTTAATAAGACTTCAGAAGATGCACAGTCTGAATCTAGTAAAAGCGAAAGGTATTTACTCAACCACAGTTATTTCTCTTTCAAATCCCCAATTGCATCAATTTTTACTAAAATCTCAAATTTTCACAAAGAACATAGCTGCTCAAATTACAGCGATGAAAGTATGACCTCAACCCCTACCCCAGCCGCTTCCACCCCTCCAAACTGCTCCCAAGGCCAAGATGATCCCCTAATGACCAAAACCCCACTAATATCCCCTCAAATCATGTTCAAAAACACCTCAAATGCCCCTTCTACCACTTCATCCCCTCAATTCCACCTCAAAAGGCATCGTCCCACTACTCTTCCTTTGTAAGTTTCTTCTCTCCAATTTTAGCACATTAAGCCCATTCAATTTCTAACCCCTCAATACCCTTTTTGGCCCAATAACTAACTCCACATCTAGGTTCAGGCCAAAATACGCTGAAAATCCAATGATGCTGTTCTTCCAGTGGAATTGCTACTAAAATTCAATTTTAACAGATCCTAAAGGGGTTTTGGGGTTTTGGGGTTTTGGGG